ACTGTAGATACTTCAGAAGAAAAAAAAGAAATCACTCCCTCTCGCAATCATTTATAAAATGCTCATGTATCACAAAGCTTTATAAAAAAAACCTGAATCAGACAAAGCATTGTGTATTTCCATATTGACTGGCATTATTAGGATATTGCTAATCAAATGTGGGTAAAATATTCTATACCAATCATTATAATTTGATTAGCTGAAGACACCTTTAATTTCATTATTGAGATCCAGCTCCCATTTTTATGTATGTATGTATGTATGTATGTGTGATTTTATTATATTTATGACAATTTTGTGAGAAACTGAAAAATAATTGTCATTTTGAACATACATGTATTTTTTCTTCTTATTTTGCATAATATTAATGCTAGTCTAGAACAATATCTCATACATATCCAATCATTAAAGGTCAACAAAAAGGTCATACTTTATTAGCTTCTCATAAATTATTTTATTTATAGAGAATGGTTACTAAGGTTTAGGTTTTATTTATAGAGAATGGTTACTAAGGTTTAGGTTTTATTTATAGAGAATGGTTACTAAGGTTTAGGTTTAATTTATAACTCCCTAGAGACCAATAAAAGTGAAACAGAATACTTTATCATTTCATTTAATTAGAGTATATTACATTAATGATACCAAATATCGTGTTTGTGATTGTGGTTCTAAATTCCCTTTTTGTAGTATAAAATAATTGTTATTTGAGGAAATTAATATTTCACATTTGTAACAGTATTTAATACACTAAAACAAATATAGAAAATAAACTACAATACTCATCAAAAACTGTACATATGAATACAAAAAAAACGTGATGGAACATGTAAATGTGATTGGAGCTTGAGATACTTGTCAAATACAAAATGAAAACTGCTTTTACAAACCTGATTTGTCACTACATAAATCAATTATACAAAGCAGTGACAGTGTAATTACTGCAACTATGGATTGTTAAGTCTGGCAAAGAGGAGACTTAAACCTTGAGTTATTGATTTGATTGAAAGATGATTTCAATGTAAATATAACCACATCATAAGATGCATTTATATTAGGTCAAACAAACAAAATATTAAGGTCACGCGCACACAATGTGATTGCTTTCAAATGTTCGCATACTGTGAGAGTTCTCTTCCTGCGAGAGTTCGCTTCCTGCGAGAGTTCTCTTCCTGTGAGATCGTTATCACATTATAACTATACCCATGTATAATGTAATGTATAGTTATGAAAGTTACATAGTCTTATTTTATAAATTCTAGATTATATATATTAAAGTACTTAACTTTATCAACAAATGTTTTGTTATTAAATTGAATTGTTAAAATAACTACATATTAAGGGCACCTTTCATTGACCCCATCTTTTAATTTGTCTGTCTGTCCAAAAATGTCAATTCCCTGAACTAGCCTTAGTACAGTTATTTACTTAGTGACACCTTGTTTTAAGTTTCCATAAGTTGAAATTCTACACTGTCTAACAGGTGGTTAACTTGCCTTTAAACAATTGGTTAACGTAAACAGGTGTTTGTCTTTAAGATCGGTTGTGAAGCGAACCATGTCAATTACCATAGCATGATATATAGGACTGTGTACCATTCATGCATGGTGTAGCAAGTCGTTACAATAACCGGTGAAACTGTGTCTGCTTCTTTGATGTGGATATAACTCACTTATTGTTTTGTTTCCCACATAGTCTGCTTGCTTTTACTCTTTGTCTGCGTTACTGAAACTAATTGTCTTTGAAATTGTTGTACTTATTTCTACATGGATACAAGTAACTCTTATCAACGTGACATATTTCAGTCATTGTTTATACAGAGACTGCTCAAGCAGGATATCTTACATACAATCAAATAAATGCAAATTAAAATGTTAGATTTGTAAGTTCCACACTTCAATGGCAAGTTATGATAAACAGTAAATATCTGTATATGCTACATATACAATACAATATATGCTACAATGTTTATGTCAATGTGTAGATTAATGGTGAGATCCCAAGAAGTGAATGTTTCTCTCTGGACAAGTGAGTTTGTTATTTATGTGTGAAAAATACTCTGTACACCAGTGAAGCATTGAATTGATTTCCTTCACTATGTCTAGCTAGGTGGTCCAACCCATCACTACGTCTAGCTAGGTGGTCCAACCCATCACTACGTCTAGCTAGGTGGTCCAACCCATCACTACGTCTAGCTAGGTGGTCCAATGCATCACTATGTCTAGCTAGGTGGTCCAATGCATCACTATGTCTAGCTAGGTGGTCCAACCCATCACAACGTCTAGCTAGGTGGTCCAACCCATCACTACGTTTAGTTAGGTGGTCCAACCCATCACTACGTCTAGCTAGGTGGTCCAACCCATCACTACGTCTAGCTAGGTGGTTCAACCCATCATTACGTCTAGCTAGGTGGTCCAACCCATCACTACGTCTAGCTAGGTGGTCCAACCCATCACTACGTTTAGCTAGGTGGTCCAACCCATCACTACGTCTAGCTAGGTGGTCCAACCCATCACTACGTCTAGCTAGGTGGTCCAACCCATCACTATGTCTAGCTAGGTGGTCCAACCCATCACTACGTCTAGCTAGGTGGTCCAACCCATCACTATGTCTAGCTAGGTGGTTCAACCCATCACTACATCAAGCTAGGTGGTTCAACCCATCATTACGTCTAGCTAGGTGGTCCAACCCATCACTATGTCTAGCTAGGTGGTCCAACCCATCACTACGTCTAGCTAGGTGGTCCAACCCATCACTACGTCTAGCTAGGTGGTCAACCCATCACTACGTCTAGCTAGGTGGTTCAACCCTATTATATAGTGCATTATTTTTAGACAAGGTTTACAGAATTAACCATAATTCTGCATTGATAAACAACAAATGAATTTTATTTCAAAAGATCAGTTAAACTTAGCCAAGAAGCTAAATTGAAACATTTTTAGATTACGACAGTCACAGTGAAATATTAAACTTTTAAACAAGTAAAAGACTTGTTTATATCATTTGCTTTAAAAACTGCATGTGTTCAAATATATACTGCTGCTATCCTGTTTTGATGACAACACATTATAGTCCCTGGGATATCACATGCTATAATAGGTAACTCAATCTTATGACATAGCAGGGCTTCCTGAGTATTACAGATTAAATCATGAAAATTCAAAGTACAACTTTCCATCAAAATAGCATATATTCACAAACTTAAAATTGTTCAATAACTAACAAAGTCACAGGACATAGTGCAATTAAATGACTAACATTTTAAGACAAGATTTACACAATGTTTACATCGAACAATGTTTTCCCCAAAAGTCACTCCTGTCTCTCCCCACCCACTGAGAACATACCACTGTGGTGCTGTGCACATTACCATTTTTCTTTTCATTGGTGACTTCTGTGATGCAAACTAAAGTACATGTAGGTAATCACTGTTCAGTGAATTTAACCCTGAACCAATAAAAATATCTGTTTTCACCAAAATTATAATTAATTAGACATTTAGACAGTCATATAGTTATAATGTACATGTATTTAGGCTTGAGTGTATTAATGTGTTCATTGTAACAATAAAACCATATGTTCACATACACACAGTATTTTATTGTTAACTTATGCAAAAAACCACAAGGAAATGTGCAAAGTCTGAAGCACTCGTGCAAATTAAAGGACTCTGACCAAAAGTGTGGCATTTGATTCAGATTCAGCTATTAGCTATTATTGCCAGCGTACAGCACTGAATGAGTGTAAATACAAAAGATATATCATATGCTACATAAATAATTCAAAGAATACCACATTTTTTTGAATATGCACCGGAAATCTTAATAGCTCAGTCGTTAGAAGCCCCACCCTGATATGATTGATGATGTAGGGTTGAACCCCTTCCCTTGCCAACTTCCTCAATCTGTCTCTTCAACTAACTAACGTTAGTACCTTCCATGGTCAACTCCAGACATTGACTATAGCTGCACAGGCTTAGCCAAAGAGAAAGATCTGATTTCACTTATGCACCTAAGAGTTAGGCACGGTTATCTGTAGTATTTAGATTAGCATATGAATACAAGTGTGACTGGTTTACAATTTGCATAAAGGAAAAATGCAGAACCTGACCAAGAGTTTTATAATTGAAATAAACTAAATGCAAAGATGCAATAGTGTTCTTTCACTACACAGTTCAAATGAAGTTCAAAATGGGGACTTTGTTATTCGTCCATCCATCCATCTGTCCGGAGTCATATTTCAGAACCCTGTAGACCAAATCTGTTAATTCTTTGCATGTGTCTAGTACTTTATCTGGGACATATGCACATGCAGTGGTTAACTGATTAAATCCAAGATGGCTGACTGGCAGCCATTTTGTTTTTTGAAAATGTGGTATCAGATGCATGCTTTGTTAGTTTTTGGTCAAATTTGCTACATACATTATACATGTTTGGATACATGTCTTTGACGATTCATTTCACAATCAGATCAAAGATGGCCAATTTGCAGCCATTTTGTATTTTGAAAATCGGATCAAAGACAGTCGACTGGCATTCATCTTGCTTTTTTTGGTATCTCAGGATTTGTCAGTTTTCAAATTTGATACAATCATTATACATGTACATGATGATTTGTTTCATGTTTTGTATAACATTTCCCATAATTCCAGTGGGGACTATGTCATTAACAATAACTTGTTAATTTATGGTAGTCAGTTTGTCTGTAACTTTTTATGATTTGCATCCTGACCATTTTTGTTTCAGCTTGCTGCCTATAACTATGTTTTGTAGCTTGACTCTCTTGTTCTCATTGTCAATTATTGTCCATGGCCTGAATCTTTACATTTCATATTTGTTGATATGATATTTAGATTAAAACAAAAATAATTGAAATAACAATTAAAATATTATCAACATATTTCTTTGTGGATTGTCATGTGTTTGTATTGGAGTTATGCTTCTAATAGAGAAAACTTGCTAATTGAGAATTCATTACACTTTTCTAACTAACGTTCATCACTTTGTTTTCTTGTTTTCAGTTATTTTGAAAGTATGGATCGCATATGTTCTCCTAATTACATCCCTTCTGCCACCGACGTACTCCGTGCAAGAGTTCGGACAACTGGTATTATAGAAACTCACTTTAAAATCAATGGGGTCATATTCAGGTGAGTACAGGGTATGGCAGATATAATACTGTTTGTAGATCTGGTTCAGTGATACCATGACATGTGTTATCCACAAACCAATGTACATGGATAATACAGTACCATTTCAGCACAAGTGCCAGATTTTTCAGCATTGCTATTAGTTTGAAAGGTGTGTGGCATAATTTTGTAGGGGAGGGTCCTGCTAAAAAAGTATGAAAGAGAAAAAACTCTTCTATTTTTTTTAATGTATGAGTCAACTGTTGAGAATAATTAGCTACAATGTGATTTGCCTCCCACACCTAGTAATTTCACACTGTGTCAGAAATCTAAAATATTCTTTTTGATAACCTTCATGAAAATAAACTATCCACATTTGTGTGTATAATATAGAATTGACATGCTTGATTGATTCTCAAATTCAGATTTTCAAATTGTCAAAACTGCTGTATAATTTAAATTACTACTGGTAATACTAATATGTTTCATGAAATGAATATTCATTGGCTGTGTGCTTAGAGGAAAGTTTCCTTTTGTTTAATTTTAGCATTGCTTGTTGCTGTCTATAAAATAGCAATTCAAAATCCTTGAATAAAATCAATATACTGTAAAACTATTTATTTTTACTGAAATTGAATTTCACGTTTGAGCATATTCACTGTGTTTTAATTTCACGAATTTGTCAATGAATGAGTTTTATTGTTATTTTACATGTTCAGATAGATTTAATTTAGCGGATTTTACTTATCACTGAAAATAGCGAAATTCAAACCCTGTAAATAATTAGCAGTATGGTGTATTAGTAATGTCACAGTTCTCAGTTTGTTCAGCAACAAACAATGTTTTGCAAAAATAACAGAAAACTTGTTTGATTTATTTATGAGTATTTCCTTGGCATTCTAGATTGTATGATGTAGGGGGTCAAAGATCGGAAAGAAGAAAATGGATCCAGTGTTTTGATGATGTCAGGGCATTATTGTTTGTTACTGCACTCAGTGGTTATGATATGACATTGTTTGAGGACCCTGATGTTGTAAGTAACTTACATATCATCCACACATTTGCATAGCATCCACTCATTTACATAGCATCCATCATTTGCATAGCATCCACTCATTTGCATAGCATCCACACATTTACATAGCATTCACAATTTTACATAGCATCCATACATTTACATAGCAACCATACATTTACATAGCATCCACTCATTTACATAGCATCCACTCATTTGCATAGCATCCACTCATTTACATAGCATCCACTCATTTACATAGCATCCACTCATTTGCATAGCATCCACTCATTTGCATAGCATCCACTCATTTACATATCATCCACTCATTTGCATAGCATCCACTCATTTACATATCATCCACACATTTGCAGAGCATCCACTCATTTACATAGCATCCACTCATTTGCATAGCATCCACACATTTACATAGCATCCACTCATTTGCATAGCATCCACACATTTACATATCATCCATACATTT